TCCTAGCAAATAGAATTTATACCCATTGTACAAACTCATGGTTGATTATTGAATTGAACTATATTGAGATAGAATATAAATAAAGACATCAGCACTTGTACTCGTAGCTGAAAAAGTTCGTACCGAACGAAAAGTGGATATCACATTCCACCACTTAGCCACACTTCAACTTTAATAAGTATTGATAAATATTTGTTTAAAGTGAATTTGTAGAGATCATTATATGTTGTAAAGGGATTACATTTTCTCTGTCGAATAATTTATCTATGAAGCCTACATTGTTTTTCAAAACAACAGCCTTAGCATGTACTTCAGAAATTATCCTTTCAATGTTATTAATATTTTCTATTCAAACAATGACACCTTCACCGAGTATTCTGTTCAGCTCAGGAAATAAATTTTTTCCCTAAAATCTCAACCTGAACCATAAATCTTCTCAGTCATCTTAAGTTGTTTAAAAACTTTGAAGGTGAATTTCGAAATGAGTTGATAACACTTAAAAAAAGAGTTATTAATTAGGAACTACTGATGGTTGTTTCACTTCATATATGAAACATTTTGGAATGCCTATTCCATAAATACATACGACATTCATCCTAGGATCTTTGGACCTCCTGATTAGTTGAAGAATCGAAAGGATCCAACTCTTACACTTCTATGGTTTTAAACAATTTTTTAGATAGTCTCAATTCATGATACTAATTGCATTTAAGATGATTTTCATCCTGAACAAGGTTCAGTTTTTTCGTACTCACTTTATCATATGAAAAACGTAGTCATACAATCCTTCAAACAGGGGAGGTATTGAACAATAAAGATAATAAATAGTAATTTTTATTAATAAACTGCTTATTAAAATATCAGTAGTATTAACTATCAATCGTTCTTAATTATTCGAATTCAATATCAGCTTCAATTGCTTTATGCATGTACATTGGACTGTAGTGACCTTGATACATAATGAAACTATTCAACCTAGTTGTTTGAATCAATCAGACAGACAACCAATTTAATCAATCAATCAATCAATCAATCAATTCATTCATTATTGTATACTTGTGACTACACTTTAATTACCTGTGAAATAAGTCAAAAAATTGAAGGCATTATTCATCATCATATATATTTTATTACTATTTCAATTTTATTGTACAATGATAGAATAAGCGGATTGTATATAATAAGCACTATGATGTATATTTCTTTCACGTAATAATAATAATAATCATAATGCACCATCATTTCATCATTTCATAAGCTGTTATGATTATAAATAGTAATTAAAATTAAAAATATCAGACTAAATAAAACTAAAAATTGCGTATTTGCTCTGTCGTCATTAGTTGTAGACGTCAATAAGATAGCAGTAGTATGATAATATAAATGAGAATACAAGTTGTATGACATGAATTTAATATCAAAATATTAATTAATCAATGCCCTTATATAATTAATATTTATGTCTTGTTAACAATAATGTACAAATGAACATATATATGCATATTCAAACTTCAATAATTATCAATTTTGGGAGTGTAGCGCCAAGATTTTACTTGTATGTATGTAGATCAAAATTTTGAGGAGCATAGATGATTTTTGCTGGAAGTCGATGTTATAAAAATTATTTCATTACTGTCTACTATCAGTTGAATAAGTATTGAAAACTAAAGATTATTGAACAGCTATTTTGATGTAGGTCAGAGTGTCGCAACAGTTTTAATGCTCCACTCTAGCAGAATTAATCCAAACATCTGTCGATCTTGCAGTAAACATTATAAGCATTAACCAGTAGATGTGAATTTTTTCAAACTACGCTTATTTTTGTTTGAGAGCAATGTTATCATTATCAAATTAATGCTTCACGCCCTAATTCAGATGATTCGTCTTAAAAACTTAAGAAAATAATCTAGAAACTAGCCCATTAATAAATATAGTTACCAATTGGTTAATATTCTGTTTGCATTGATTTTTCAAACAGAATATTAAGTATATATAATGTATTTAAAGTATTTAATAACAGTTGTCTAAGCAAAATACTTCGGATCCGTTGGCTAGACACTATCAGCAAGAACTTACTGTGGGAACGAACAAACCAGATTCCAGTGGAGGAGGGAATCAAGAAGAAGCGCTGGAAGTGGGTAGGACACACATTGCGGAATGCACCTAACTGCGTCATAAAACAAGCCCTCACTTGGAACCCTCATGGAAAAAGGAAAAGAGGGTGCCAATGAACACATTACACCGAGAAATAGATAAAGATATGAGAAGAATGAACGAAAATTGGACAGAATTGGAAAGGGAAGTCCAGGACAGAATAGGCTGGAGAATAGTGGTCGGCGGCCTATACTTCATTGGAAGTAATAAAATCCTAAATAAATAATTGAAAACCCCAACATTATAAAAAAATAACTTAAGTAATTATCGATTATAAAATATTATTAGATCTAATAATAAGAATTAGTTATGATCTACAGAATTCAGTTATTTTATATCGACTGTGTTCAATCACAAAGATCAATGATGTTTAATGTGACCAAACTATCTTTTTTTCACATTATTCTTTAATTTCCTGTTAACACCTTAGAAAACTTTATATTCAACTTAGTTATATAAAGTAAATATATATCTCGCAATTTAATCAAGAAATTGAGGAAATAGTTTGGAATTACTTATCAAGAAAATGATCGAAACCATTGCCAAAATAAAAGAGATATTCAAATTTCATCCGAATCGCATAAACTTTTACTTTGAACTTTACACATTACAGAAATTGACTTTTGCTCTGTGCTACATTAACTAAAAATTAGGATTATTTATTGGTACTTGATTTCTTGATAAGAACTAGTTTAATGGTATTGATAATCAGATAACATGCGTTTTCAGTTTGTAAAATGACTTCATTTGATATTGTAAATACTTCTGGTTATTATGAGTACATTTCATTAATTACTTTAAATGATTGCATTGCTTGGAGTTATCAATCCTTATCAAGTAGACTGTATATACCGATGACTTAACACTTTGAATTTAGCAAATGAAATTACAATACAGTTTTGGAAATGTATAACATGAATAGACAGACAGACAGATACAACGCAGAACTTTGTATGTAAGTACATCAGTTCAAGTTGTTATACCATATTAGCACAGAGACGTAACTGTTAGTTCAAATCCAGGAGTAATAGCGATAATAAAAGTATTAGCAGTAATGAAGAAGATTAGGGAGCGAAGATATGATTCGAGAAGTATAATTCAGTGAGATAAAGTTAGAAGGAGAAAGATAGAGATAATGAGGAATTCAGAAGGTTAGAAGTAGAGAGAACACAAACAGTGGATGCATCTGTGCCATTGCAAACGATTCTGAGAAATTTCGTTCAAGGTCTCTAACCGTTTGTGACTTTCGTCTTGCGGACCCCAACCAGGTAGCCTACATCTACCAACATGACTCAGTCCACTTGTCAGTGACTTCATGAATTTCTGCCATGTTTTGGTTTCGCCATTCCTAGCTTTCTTCCAACCTACTTCTACACTTCAAAACATAGCTCGACGAGACAGTCAGTGGTTAGGCATTCGTAACACATGTACCAACCGCCTCAATTGATGAAGTTTCACCACTTCATCTATTGATTTGCCATCCCTACCTAGAACTCGTTTCCTAACATGAATAAATCTGATATTTCTGTGTATCTTTACATTAGTCAGCGTTGATTTAAACAAACAAAAAATTCAAGTGACACTCATTTACAATACAAACATTATTGTAGACAAAAATCGACCAAATCATTGTCCACCAACTAAACTATTGAACTCACTTCATATTCCACAACCATTCAACCAATCCAACGGAAATAAACTTCACCTTTTCATCACACTGTTCAAATCCAAAAAGTAACTGATTTTCGAAAGCAAAATTGTATTTAAGATAAACAAATTTCAACGCACAATATTTAAATATAATATCATGTCGGAAACAAAAAAAACCAATATGACTTTACAAAAAACCCTTCAAATATGAGATGCAAAAGAAAAAAGAAAACAGGGAAGTGGAAAATGTGAACAGCGCGGTGAAATGGAAGAGCAAGAAATTTCAAGGAATTTTCTTTTGCAAATAACAAATAACGTGAGAAACAACACTTTCGTTTACATCAATAATTTCTGTGTATTTTTTAAAACTGTTTTAATGATGTGAAGAAATGAGGAAATCGAAATTCAATAATTTAAAATCCAAATTACAAATAATAATAATTATGAATAATAATAATAACAGTAACGGTAGCAAATAATTATATATATGTCAACAAAACAACAACGTCAACCTTAAAATAACCAAGAAAATTGATTCTTTTGTCCGAAGTCAGCTGAATCAAGCCTTGCCTTTCTAGGATTTCTATTGTCGGCTTGTGTGCGTGTAAAGTTGAGGGTAGCTGGATGAAATAAAGTGAAATGGATGAATGAATCAAAGAGAGAGAGGGAGAGAGAAAGTGATAAAGTACATGATACGATCGAAAAACATGAGAACACGAATAAGACAAAAGAAAAAACCAGACATCCTTCCTGGTATTATCAATAAAGGATGTTGAGAGTCACAGTTTTGTTCAATTCGAGAGAATAATTATTTTCATATAATTCCAGTCAAATGGGAAAAAAAATAAAAAATTTTAAAATGATTGTAAATTTGGTAGTTTTTTTTTTAATACGTTTGATTATTGATTTCGAACGAAATGATCATATGAGTCAATCAATAATTTTTGTGTAATGTCTTTGTAATAGCCATTCCAAGTGAAATAATATCATTTTATCCATTTTTATATATATATACACATAGTTGATATTATCAGATTGTAATGGATATCCTTGTTATGAAAGTAAAAATTTCCAAAAAAGAAAAAAAATTTCAATGAATGAGACTAGAAATTATATTGAACATAGAATATTGATTTTAAAATATGCAAATTTTTGTACAAATATTTCAAGATTATTTGGAATTGAATTCAGTTAGATCATGTGGAAGATAAGTCTACTGAAGATGTATTAGCTGGAATCATAGGGAATGGTATAGTGACATTGTTTATATTACTAGTTGTATCACGTAAATTGTTTAAATGAATAGTAGTATTCATTGTAAATGTATTGCCATAACTACTACTACTACTACTACTAATAGGAGTCATATGAGTAGATTGATTGAAAGACTGATGCATTGATTGAGTTAAATTGTTGAAAACATTTGAATTATACGAGTCAGTAATAGTTAACATATCATTTCCAGTAGACGAATAACCGAATGAATTTGAATTATGCAAATATGGTGAATAAAACATTGAGCTCAATTCACCATGATTAACTTGATTAAATACATTGTTTAAATGATGCAATGGAGATAAATTTGTATTAGATGGTAGAGGGTAGTGTTTTAATGAAGAATTCTGTTTCATTGAATGATCTTCTTGATTATTACTATGATCAGTAATTAGAGCAACATCTGTTTCAGATAAATATGAATTTATTGCGTCATTGGTATTCATGTGACATGAACTATTCAATTGGGAAGAATAAATTGGAAAAGTGCCGGAATCATTATGATCAGAGAAATTTAAACGATTTGAATTATGTGAATCTTTCAACAATGTAGTACTACATACATTCATTGATGTTGATAAATAAAGTAAGTTAGATGGATCTAATTCGGTGTGATTATTTGTAAGATCTGTAGAGTTTTGTAATGAATGAAATACATTTTTTCGAAATGATACTTCATGATTCATGCTATTTGAAAATGATTCGTTAGGTTGATCGATATCATCTGATGCCGTAACAGTGACTGTAGTATCAGGATTAATTGACTGTAAAGGATATGATCCTGGAGGAGGTGATAAATATTTATGAGTAGGCCAACAAGTAGTTGGTTTTGTCCCTAATGACGACGATGTCACAGTCAAGTTCGGTAAAAATGAATAATGAGAAAGTGGTGAACAGTCAAGATTGAGTGTATAACTCTGATTAGACTCTATTGGATTCATATAATAGTGAGAGTCATTTACAGTAGATACATTTAGATTGTAATTCATAATATTCATTGTGTTTCTGGAAGGTATATCAAATGATGTAGGATTATGGATATTTGTGTTTATAGTAGTATTTGTAGTTAAATCTACAGTAGATTCATTAGTATTATCATACAAAATGGATGGATTAAATTGTGGTAATATATTAGATTTCTCATTATAGTTCAATGATTTTTGAAAATAACTGTCAGTTGGACATGTTTTAGACAAACAATTCGAATTCGTATGTAACGCTGAATTCGGGATCCTGGTTAAACTCGACTGATTGCCAAGAGATAAATTATGTTCAGTCAATTGTAGAGCATTGTCATTCTCACTAGGACTATGCATAAAATCACATATTTCAGATTGATTGATATTTGAGCCTTGTTGTTGATGCAATTGATTGTGTGGAACATCAAATATTTGTTGTGATCGACGGGTATGAGTTGAATAATTTGATGTTAAACCAACAACTGAATGAAAAGGACTATTAAACATTGAACCTATTGGACAATAATCTGTTTGTAAATCTAATTTTGGCGGTGAAGATAATCTCGAAAAATAATTTATTGATTCTGTGGTTGTCTTGATTGTTGGGAATGATGTTGTTACTGATGATGATGACGATGATGGTAAGTTTATATCGTATTCTTTAACATTGTTATTATTATTATTGTTACTACTACTATTAACCAATGGCCATCCCATAGGAGAGCTTAAATGTTTATTTTTACTTGGATTAACTAACTGACTTCTTAATGATTCTTTCAAAGGATCAAATAATGAATCATGATCCATATTTATGTTAACTGGATTAAAATTAAATTCAGCATTCATTAAATTACTGTCGAGTGATGAATTGTAATGAAATGAAGGAAATAACTCATGCGATAATCGATTAAATTTCATACGACTGTAAATGTTGTCGTTATTATTACTATTACTATTATTATTATTACTTGCATCTGTAATGAATGGATGATTGTTTTCATAATCATTTATTGATTCAGTAAAACACAATGGTGTCGTTGAATAGAGATCTGGACTTAAATTAAGAAATTCATGATTAATTTTAAATTTTTCATTCCTTACACAATCTTCATCATATTCTTCAATAGTTGTATCGGAAATTTTATCTAATTTTTTCATAAGTGCAATTTGTTTTAATTGTCCTTTTAAGTTCAATTCATTATTATTGTTATTGTTGCCATAGAGATAACGATGACTATCACAATTATTGATAATTCGATTGTATTGTTGTTGTTGTTGTTGATGTTGTTGCAGATGATGACGATGATTGCCTTCAACCGCTTTCTTTTCGTCCTGCTCATCATCGTCTTCTTCCTCCTCCTCCTCCTCTTCACCTTCATCATCCTCTCCCTCTTCCTCTTCTTCTTCTTCTTCTTCATCTTCGTCATCTTCCATTTGTCCATCTTCATCTTCGTCATCACCATCTTCTAGCATACATTCAACACCCTCCTTACCAATCATATCATTACCAGTTTCTGAAAGATTACTATTTATTCCATTATTACTCGTTGGATTATGATTACGTGATTGCAATTTCTTTTTTTTCATTCGTCTATTTTGAAACCAAACTTTCACCTACAATAGCAAATGTGAACAATAAAAACAGGAAAGAGATATATGAATTGTGATGAAAAAATAATAGAGCAGATGAAAATTTGTTGGAAACAAGTCACTAAACATTTATTTGTTCAATATATATATTTTTCTTAGAACAGGTATATTTTACCATATTCCTGGCAAAAATAAAATTGAGCTTAATTTAAAATACGAAGTGAGTCCTAAATTATGATGAAATCAAAGTTACAGGTTTCATGTCAAATACCTCCAACCACCTGACTTATTTAGCTCTAATATACTTATTAATATATAAGTTTAGAAAGTTGGGTGAGTAGAATTCACTGATCAGTAAACAGACATGCTAAAGCATATTTAAGAACAAATGAATTTGAGGAGTCTTCATCACAAATCTAATTTCTGTATTCTGTATTGTAAAAATCTGACAACTGATTGATGAAGTATACTTTATTTCTGTGATTAAAGTTGTTTTTTATACAGGAACAGTAAACTCGTAATTAAGAAGAATCTTTTTGGCATAATGGTTAACTGTTGGAATACTTCATTAAAATGCATTTGTATCAAAAATTCGATTATGAAATTACTTGAGCGTTAGATAAATGTCTCTTGAAAATTTTGGATTGTAAATATAGAACAAAATGTTATAAAACTGAATCATTCCTAAGTTATTAGATAATAAAAATGATGCATCAGGGTAACCATGGTTTTTCGATATTCAATAAAAAGTTCAGTATCTAGCAATTTTGAGCATTGATTTATTCATTTAGTTAGTCACTACTGTATACAGGAATGTAATTTTCACTGAAAAATTCAATTCAATCATTTAATGCTATCTAAATATGGTTTCAATAAATAGGGCATTGAAGTGCATCCCAACTTACCAAAATAAAAAGTAAATACTGCAATTCATAATTTAAAACTAAATTCCTAACAGAATGTACACTCTTGTATGGAGTATCTACTAACGAAATGAATGGGAAAATGTTAACTACTGCACATGTATTGACCGTTGAAAGATCGATGTGCTACGAATTCATAGACACGTATCTTGTCTGGAAATAACAGTTTCTACTCAAAATGAAGCATAAAGGTTACTTCTTACGTAAAATGGTTTATTGAATTGAATACTAGTTTTCTTGTAAGCGAGAATCATCTAAACTTTACTTAGAAATTTGGTTGGAATAAATACCTCAACGTTTACATTTATTCAATTTCTTGAACTTGGTTAGTTTTACACTAAAACCTATTTTGTTGAAGTTAATTTCTTTAAGCAAAACAGTTCAAATGTCAAGTTATTATTAAAATGTCAGATAACAAGAGATAGTGATGTTACCTAGAAAGATAATACCATTGAATTATTCTACAAAGTTACAAATCTCCATCAGCACAAACCAAAATAAGTTGAAAGAAAACTCACAAATTGATTTTATTCTAATTTCAAACTTATCAGTAATGAACATTTACATATTCTCATATGATCAAATTATAAAATAATTGATTCTTTAATGAATACAATAATAAACATCTTACAATTTTATACAAATAACTGAGCAAAAATACACACACATATTTGTTACCAACAAAATAATGAACTGTCAAAGAAATTAAATTGAACATTGAACAGGAATAACTTTGTTACTAATAGCGCTAAAACAAAAAAGTCACAGTTAAATAAAATATTTACTACTATTAATTGACAAATCATCAAGTTTGTGGTTATTTATTCTTTATACTACTTTAATATCTACACTTCTATCATGCAATGGATCAACAATTGTAAAATTTCGATTCATATTCATACATTATTGGATTGCTTTAACGTTTATTTTTTCAACTAGCGAAAATTTTCCGATCGCGACTACTCACATCACACATACATACACACATAATTTTTGCATCACTGTGACTTCTATTATTTTAATTTAATATTTTTTCAATGTCTTATTTAATCGTGTTGTGTTATATGTGATTATTTCAGAAAATCTCTTCTTTTTTTAAAAAATTACATTTCTCTAATTATCAAATTATCAAATATGGGTTCCAGTATAATCCATGGGTTAAAAAAAAACATGAATGATTTCGGTTTTTTATTTTATGCAAACCAATGTAGAACATACTGGTAAGTAGCAAAAACACAATCAATAGAAAGTGTTATCATCCATGTTTTATTGATAATCTAATCTGTCTTCCCTTCTTGCACACACACACACACAAACACTGAAAGCATGATTTTCATAGTTAATTATCTTATAACTAACCATTTGATTGAGTTTGTGATAGCGTTAGAGGGAGAAAAAAAATTAAACGCACAGAGATTGCGATTAGTTTAATTAACCAGTATCTTTTTGAGTTATTAGAATAATGTCTTTTTGCAAAAATATACTGTCCAGTCAGAGGATTGCGCAGTCATTTATGTAAAATAAAATGATGAGAAAAACAAAATTAACTTGGTTTACTGTCGATTATCTGTTTGGTAAACATCAATTATCATAGTTACAAGTCTATTTTATACAATGAAAATGACTTCACAATTTGTCTTGTTATAAAAATATTAAAGAAAACTAGTCAATAATTACTTTTTATAGTTGATAACTGAAAACAAAACTATTTGTTTATCCAGTGATAATGTCGATGTTCAAAAATATTACTCTCAGAGCCAAATAATGTTCAAAAGAATCTTTCTCATGAGTTGAATATCAAACAAATAAAAAATCTGTTAGTTAGTTAGTTAGTTATTATGTTTCATTAGTTTACACTAAATTAAATTGTAATCATTAACGTGATTTGATTGAACATTTAAATTCTTATTCGTTAACAACCAAATAGTATGAGTGACTTTCACACACTTAAAAAGTAAAGTAACACTACTCAATATCAAATAATTAAACTAACTAATCAAGATGCAATAAATCAAAAATTTGATTTGATCAGAACTGGAAATCTATTTCAAAGTATACCAAAATCAAAGGCTACACCATTGGAAAACTCAAGACATAATTATCAGATTGAGAAGCTGACAGTGAACAATCTTCTCGAACTTCATCTAAAATAATATTTCTTTTTGTTAATTTAATTCAGTCATATTTTCATCCTAAACTTGAGCTTTTCAGATAATATATCTTTCAAATAAATAGTATTAAAGGGTACAATAATAATTCTACACTTTCAAACCACGAATTGATACATTGATCATTTAACCAAATTGTGACGTTTTTCGTTAAATTTCGCGCATAAATAGAACTGAATGACATAGAATTATTGATAAGTTACTGAATATAGTTTATCATTAAAACAATAATAGACAATCGATTATTTCACTGTAGAAATACGATCTGCCATACTTTTTAACCAGCAAAAGTAATGATCATTGTTAGATCAATCTAATTACATTTTCCTATAAAAATAATTGATAAATCTTCACTCTAACTGAAGAAATATTCAATGTGAAGTGCTTTTTTCAAAAACTGTTTAGTACTGTTACAAATTACATGATACGATATTAGTGTAAACGCATATCAGATTTAAATTGGTAAACTCAGTAACTACTAAATTATTAAAAGTAATCCACTTGCATGATTGATTTACTTTAATGTTTCACTTCAATTCATTAAGTTATTTATCAAATTCTAAATGCTTACATAGTAGTGGTACATAGATGTATGCTAACATAAACTAGTTAAATAGGCAAAAGAACGGTATTCCGCCATACTTCGCATGTGATCACTTTTGTCACTGTTTAAACACGATTAAATAGTATATGCCTGAAACCTGCTTCTTCATGATTGACAATGAAAAATTTCAATAATTTAAATAACGTTCTATCTATTAACAAGAGAAAAAAAGACAGGAGTTTAAGATTTTTGCAAATAACTAGTAATTGAAAAATTAAATATTAAAAATTTCTGTTTTCTAAATCCCGCTGTTAGCTAATGTTTCATTATCTCAAAAAATGAAGTATCAGTTTATTATTCGAATAAATATATAAGAACATCATCAAAATCATTAGTTCACAAGCAAAATATCATGAATTATTATTGATGCCACGAAAAGCACCAGACTCGCTTATACAAACTACATCTAGAATTACTACTGTCTCAAATAGAACTTAATTCAAACCGCTTAACGGAATTCAAAAAAACTTTGAAAGCACCAGCTTACTGCCATAAATTAACATATGATTATATCCAACCAATATATTATTTGAACAGAAGAATATATTTAGTGATCATATATTTAGTTTAATGATTTATTCGAGATTAATAAATCAAAGCTCTTTATTCTAAGAAAGATTCATTCTGCACTAAACTTGTTTGAATATCAGAAAATAAAAAAAACCTGTTTTTTAATGCTCAAATTACAGGGCTTCACTTGACGACAACTGTTAAGGATTTTTGGCAATGATGCTTAACTACTCCGGTCAATTAGTAGTATAGTCATTGTTTACTAGTTTACCTTGAAGTTTTCTTATGAATAAAATCGATGATTTTAGTTTTAAATAAGTAGGACATGTCACGAAAACAACTTTGAAATGTCACCTTACGAGTAGTCAAATAATTATTTCTCAATTGTTCCAAACAACTGAGTAATCATATATTAAGTGCACCACAGAATTTGTACAGCATGTCAAATATGGTAATGCAATGAAAACTTCTCTGTAATATGACTACCAAATGGAATTATTTGGGAACAAAGGTATTTGAATACAACAAAGTCAAGTGATTGATTTCATGGAGAGCGACGGAAACTTTTGCTAGACCATTATCGCTGATGGACCGTTGAGTGGCATCTCAATTGCCTAAGGTAATGTGAAACCTGGGTATGATATATTTAGTTTTTAATGTCGTTCTGAATTTTTTTTAATTAATAAAGAGGTGCACTTTAAGATGAAATAGTTGTCTATTGTTTTTTCCCGCTTGCAGGGATCGAACCCAGAACATCTGATTCCACGCGCAAACGCTTAAGCTCTAGACCAG